TCATTATCTGTCTATCCACTCCTGGGTGAAGGCCTCCCACCCACACCGTCGCCACCCCCCCCCCCCCCCCGACAATCCAGCACCACGACCGTCCCATCTCAATCCTCCTGCACCTTGAACTTATGAAATCAATAACGCTCAGGTGAGAATTGACTCGGTACATTGTCAGGCACAAATTATGCCTTTGTAGACGCGACGATATTGTCGGGTGGAGGAGGATGTTGGCAAGGGTTTGGGCATAAAACTACTTGCGTGCCTAATCCAGACACATAAGAATCATTGATACTGGCAACGATTACGCACATTGCGTATTTGGGGAGTGTGTGGGGGAGCGGTAGTGTTGCAGTTAACGCACCGCACTGCGAAGCCGGCGACCCGAGTTCGATTCTCGCTCACAACCAACACCAGTGAGGATTATCTGAACCGATCCTGGACCTTCTGCAGGTCGACTCAGCCTCAAATGATTAGCTTGTGCGATAATGTAAATATCGCCACTAGGGAGACAAAGGCGGCCGGACGCGGTGCTGGACACCCACGCCTTCGTGTGTCGTTCCGGCCTTCATAAATGCTCGTCGCTATCAGCACTTGCCCCACCACTGTGTTGAGTACACGGGGGGGGGGGTCTTCGTGTTCAACGTGACGTTGTTAACGCTCCTCTCAATTTGAATGAGTGCGCTCTCTCTCGCAGAACGTGTCGGAGCGTGCAACGTGTAACGAATTCTTTTGTGTGTGTGTGGATGAGACGGGTGTAAGAGGCAGGTACACGGGGGGGGGGGGGAGGAGGAAATGCGTACCGTGTGGAGTGACTCGCTAGCCTGGAGGAAAATAAAGCAGTGTACTTCAGTGCAAGGCCCGCAGGCCACTAGCGGCCCCTGGTGGCCTTTAGTGCGGCCCCTGGCGTGCGTCCTCCGACAAAACACAGTGATATGTTCCGTCCAGAGCACGTGTGATGATCCCGGGAGGCACATTTGACTGCAGTGCTCTCTGTGTGACAATGCTGCTGTTGCGACGCGGAAAACTCAGCCGGCATTGCGGGGGTGATGCACGCGCGTGTGCGCTCCGCGGTGCACAGGTGCAGCAGACGCGCGCCCACAAATAATTGCCGCTGTCGGCAACGGAGCACTTGCGGGCAGCGGGCAAGTAGCGACTGGCGAATGAGTATCTTTACGTATGTGTGTGTGTGTTGTTTTTTAAATACTGCAATTGAAACTAAGATTTGCTGGCTGGCTGGCGGGAGAACTATAGATGGATGTAATGCCGATTTGAATGAGCGGAGATCGACAGCATGGTGACCGTGATGAAAACTCGCAACCCGATTGTGACTCACAATCTGACAACAGCTCTCCGCGGTTTGTTGTGCAAATCCAACTTTTCATAAAATCCACTGCTGGATGAGAACGGCATCCCCCCGGCGTGCGCACCCGTGGGGGCTATTTGACGATGCTTCATCGCGAAGATCGCTTGAAGGCAGGAAGCAAACACGTGGAAGCATCCAAAATACGTGGATTATTCTACGTGATTACGTGCCTACGTGTTAAACTGACGTTGACGCATATATATACAGTACAACAATTTATTTTGTTGCACTGCCGTCTGATGCAAACAACGTCGCCCAGTAACTGAAAACGTCTGTCATGCGTGGTGGCCGCCCATCCAAACATTATCCAGGTACAAGTCTGCTTATCTTCCGAGATGTGACGAGATAGGGCGCATTCCGTATGATTTGGTTATATGTAAATATGATTATCTGCAACGTATATAGTATACACCTAGTTACTTATGTCATGTTAACCCCACGTTTAATCGTGAAAGGCATGACTTTATCCATTATATCATGCCCTGAGAAATGTCCACATAATAAGCCAATTCGTTGAGCTATCATTTGGGAAAATTGCTGTATAGATCATTGAGCCTTAACTGGTAAAATAAAAAGTTTAGTTTAATTTTAGACCATATCGTGTCATATTACCGTTGCATTGCTGCCTAGGGCGACGCTATAACTTCATTTCCTGGCCACCATGGCATTAAATTAACACTGTCATTCATGTATTTTCAAACCACACCCTCAATAACAGGCGGTTGCAACATTCAATGACAAGTAAAGTTGTGATCCTGATCAGGTTTTCTTTGAATGCGAACGTATGCCGCGTCCGTATATCGTCATTCTTGCCTCTAAACATAATGAATGACTCTCCAAATATGAATGGGGGCGGGGGGGGGGAAACAGATCTCGTCTGTGGTCTGAGTTACTCGTCTATTAGTCACTGGCGTCATACGCGAGGAATTGTCAAATAAACTGATAACACTCATAATGTGGAGGACATCCGCCCAAGAGATGGAGCGATGAAATCAGCTCGCGTGCAGGTGCTAGGCGGATTATAACATCGCATGATCGTGAGTAGCGGCGGCATCTTGGTGAGGCCTTCATCCAGCAGTAGATTTACCATGGCTAAAGACAAAACTTAAAATGTCACCTTATTGTTTAACGTAGTAATCTCTGGAATCAGGAACTCTCATGATGATGATTATTATTACTACTACACGATATTGTACGTTTACACCCCGATTGGCTGGTCGATTCAGTCCATCCCCTCTCTATCACTTTGAGGCCGTCCATAAATGACGTCACGCACCTGGGGGGGGGGTCAGACATTTGTTACGATGTGTGACGATGGGGGGGGGGGGGGTGAGAAATGTGACGTCACGTAAAAATGCGCAACTTTAAATAAATATAGACAAAACGTTCGACTTAATTAAATAGACTTTTTGATAAATGTCTTCTCCTACAACATCAGAATGCAACGCCACATTAAATACGCACTACAATGACAATAGTTTAAAGCGATTTGAAGCATGTTTTTTTTGGGGGGGGGGCAGAGCTTTGTGACGTCATTTGAGGGGGGGTCTGACTTTTTGTGACGCCGTGTGACGAAGGGGGGGGGGGGGTCAAAAATCGTCCAAAATCGCGTGACGTCATTTATGGACGGCCCCTTTGCCGCAAGTCAACAGCGATTGTCCATCGGCATGCCTGGCCATCATCGCCATCGGAATGTGGAACACAGACGGTCGACGAGCCGAGTTACGCTCACGTATTGCTAGAAACAGGGGGCGATAAAGTAACGACGAGTAACTGTAGAGTTCCCTTTTTAGCGTCGTGTTCTCAAAACGTGCAGATTTAGGGTTTTAGTGTTTGAATGCACACCCCCCCCCCCCTTTTCCCTGCACATCGGATCATAATTCTGTGAAACGAAATACCGTGCAGATTTCACTGAAGTTACGGTTACGATTGCTATCTTGATTTGAAGCTTTCGTGACTGCAGGAATCCATACTCTTTGGTTCTTTCGGTAAAGTCACGTCGGTAGAAAAAATAATAATATAGATCACGACGTTTCGATCGCCACACAAGCAATCGTCTTCAGGTGGGAGAGATTGCTCGTGTGGCGATCGAAACGTCGTGATCTATTATTATTCTTTCTACCTACACGTGACTTTACCGTAAGATTCCGATGTTCTACAATTGTCGTCTCAGTGTTAACGACGAATCTTTGGTAAAGAGTTACGCTTTGACCCATTCCTTTTTTTAAATTCTTTATATTAAATTCGCTTGCTTGCTTGCTTGCGTGCTTGCGTGCTTGCTTGCTTACGACCGTGCAAATCTTTCGGTCGTTTTTTAACCCACTTCCCGTGATCCAATCGAGCTGACATTTTCCACACAGACTCGTTGTGCGTGACAATTAATTTTCGTGAAAAAAAATTCCAAAATGTTACACTGTTTATGGAATTTTTTTAAATATTTAATTGCCAATTGCTTAATGCTGGCAGACAATCATCTGACCCATAGGTGGCAGCCATCTCAAGCCAGAGGACGAGAGGACTCTAGCCGCCACGCATATAAAGGATTTAGAGTGAAAAACTTTGTTTTTACGGGTTAATTTTTATCATACCGCATCCTACACACACACACAACTCACGATGCATACAAAGATCCCCCCCCCGTATAGCAACTACGCCCGGCCGCCTGTATCTCTGTCTCCCCGACAGACCTGGTCTTCACCTGAGGACGGCTGCTTGCGTTGTGGCCGAAACGTCGTGAGAATTATTTTATTATGTTTTATTTTTATTATTTTATTATTTCCCTTCTACGTGACTTTACCGAAAGAACCAAAAAGATGTAACCCTAGTAGCATTCCCAGTGCATCGGAACCCTTCAACTGTTTCTTTCAGAACCGATTCATGATTCTCTCCCTTCTCTTCCACGCTCTCAGCTGGGCACCCACTAGTGTGTGTGTGTGTGTATGGGGGGGGGGGGCAACGCGGCGACCCGAATTCAATTCCAGCTCACGGCCAACACCAGTGACGATTATCTGAACCGGTCCTGCCCCCTCCCCCTAGGTCGACTCAGCCTCAAATGAGTACCTGGTGTGGTGCGCGAAAAAAAATATCGCCACTCGGGGGAGACAAAGGCGGTCGGGCGTGGTGCTGGCCACCCCCGCGTTGTACCGTTCCCGTCTTCATTCGGTGCTCGCTGACATCCCTTGCCCCCACAGCATGGAAAGGCTCACGGCCAACACCAGTGACGATTATCTGAACCGGTCCTGCCCCCTCCCCCTAGGTCGACTCAGCCTCAAATGAGTACCTGGTGTGGTGCGCGAAAAAAAATATCGCCACTCGGGGGAGACAAAGGCGGTCGGGCGTGGTGCTGGCCACCCCCGCGTTGTACCGTTCCCGTCTTCATTCGGTGCTCGCTGACATCCCTTGCCCCCACAGCCTGGAAAGGCTATACGGGGATGGGGTGGGGGGGGAGGACCTTTGTCTTTGTGCAACGCGCACAGCCAAAACTAGTGCCCTCTCCCCCCTTACACCCCTTGCAGCCATCCCAACCCCCAACCCTGTTCTCCCAGCCAACAGAGCCCAACTTCACATCCCTTTACCCTACCCCCCAAATGCGCGCTTCTGCTTAACTCGTGCATCCAACAGCATTGGCGGCGGCGGTGGCGTCAGCCCGCATTTCGCCCGGAGCGTTAAGCGCATGCGTTGGTCGGGCAGGCTCTCTCTATATATGTGTGTGTTGTGCTGTACACGCATAGACACGGAGAGGCACACACACACACATATATATAGACGTGCAGGGAACTAACTCGATGTGTGTATATATTAGCGGAACTATATGTAAGTGAGCGCTGCCACAAAGGCTGGAAAAAGGAGCGCAACGAATTCGTAGGCTCCGCTCTGCACGGGCGTCATAGGAGGCTGTCAGCTGCTATACACACACACACTATACACACACATGCTGTGTATATATAGTGTGTGTGTATATAGTGTCTGTCTGCACGCATAGTACGCGTGTCGACAAATGAATGCGCTGTCTATGAGAAGTCGCGGGGAAAGGAGGGCGCGGGTCGGGGGGCGCGTTTTTGTATTTATCACGGAGTTTGAAAGTGGCGTGTTGTTAGTTCAGTTTCAGCAAGCCACGCTTTCGCGCAATCACGGCAGAGTTCGTGCGGGGAGCCTCTAAACGCCCGGCCGGCCAGGGCTGTACGCGTGTATCGTCATCAGCTGGGCTCAGGAGGAGGAATACGCTGCGGGTAGATCGGGACGTTGCTATCTCTCACGCTTCTGTGTCGACTCCGAGGCGCGGAGAGCCAGCCGTGAGCGCTCTACGCGGAGGCCGCCGCAATGGAGCGACTGCTTGGGTTCTGCTACGTCTGGCTGCATCTGGATGTGTTCACCCTCCTCCTGGCCGCGACTAAAGGTACCGCAACAAGTACCGAGCGCGCACGTGCAGCTCCGCGTGCATTCTCTGTGGGCAGCGGTGGTGCAGCGCTTCGAATAGCCGGCCACCCGAGTTCGATTCCCAGCCACGGCGAATGATACCTGGCCGTGCCTGCGCCTCTCCATGGTCGGCGTTGTCCTTTCACGAGTGTCTGGGTGGTTTGTTTATAACATCACCACTAGGGAGACAAAGTCGGCCGCGGTGTGGTTCTGACCCACATTGCGTCCCCTCGTGCGCCGTGAATAGGTGCTACCGAACATTACTAGCGCAACAGGCTGTGTAGGCTATGCCGGTGGTGTCTTTGTGACACGATATGAGACGCAGTCATACAAAATCCAGGTACCACACCAGTATATACAACAGGGATCTGTTGCGTCTGTGTTTGAATGTGAACTCGATCATCCTTCGGTTGACTCGGCATTGCATCTAAAGTGCCTGCTGCAGCAGTAGTAGTGTCATGGGCATCGGCGCTGTTGAAGTATGAGTTGGCAGCCGTGTTCCCCTTATTCATAGATGCTCGCTGACAGCTGCTGTCTAACAATCTAGTGGCTGAAAATGAGCTGTCATGCAGCACAGTACTCACTTCCGTGCTTGTTGGTGACTTTAGTTCTCTGTGTATATATGCGGTTCCGCGGATGTGCGCTTAAGAGTGCATAGTAATGTATTCTAGACACCGATTGAAATACACTGTGCTAAAATAAAATACAAACCCTATCCAAAATGCGTCAGTGGCGAAGCTTCACTCGCCTGTGTCGTGAGGTCTGGTCAATCAATAGCACCCACGATCGACATGTTTTGGGCAGCCTTCATGCAACAGTGGATTTATAGAAGATTGCAAACGTTACGATTAATTTGTCTGCACATGACTCGTGTTTAGAAAAGAGTTCAGATTTTGTGGGTAACTTAGTGAAATGTGTCATTTTAGGGATCGGGTTAGTATTAGGTGCGGGTTTTAATGGTAAGAGTAGCGTTTATGCAAATACAACTCTTATTCTATTATTAATTCTACTCCGAGAGATTAGTCTCAGTGCGTTGTCATCTGGTCATGATGTATTGTTAAGGAAGTCATTTGTACAGACTATGAAATGATTAGAAATACTCCGATGACTGAACCGGTGTTTTAGTGGGTCGTTGGATCATGTGCAATGCAGTTTGTCTCAGTGTCATCTTCCAAAGAAAAAGATGTACATGTCCATTTTTTTAAAATCATGTGTGGGATGCACTTTGTTTACTTACTCATCGCATGGGTATGCCAACATTAGCAAGTGTAAAATATACGAAAATCACTGACAATAAAGTTGCCTTAAAATGCTATTTTGTTATTTGATTTTGAATTAATAATGACAGCACAACCATTTTACATTTATAATTTTCTATCATAATCAAGTGACTTTTTAGGAATATCAATATTACATAGTCCAAAAATAGCTCAAATAATCCTGAATATATAAAATGTTCAACAATTGATTGTACTTTAACGCATTGACGAACAAAAGTTGTATTTTTTTAACATATCGAGTGCTACTAATGTACATGAACAAGAGGCGCTGCATTTACGATGCAGCGTATACAGTACGACCTTTTTCTCGGAAGTCAACAGTGGTGTGGCTCTGGATGGAATGGACCTTGCCATGTGAAGGTGGAGTTTCAATCACAGGCTCAGGACTGTCAAAGGAGATGAGCACCATCGGTTTATGCAGCGACACGTTGCCTTGACTTTGATACTATTGTGCTGTACATCCTCTAGATTGATTATTGGGACAGTGCGTTCAAAATAACTTCATGATTTAATGCATCACAGGGTCAATTTGTCTTCCACTCATGTTAATATACTAAGAAAAATAGTATACTAATAATGTCCATAGCAAGGAGTAATTCCTGCAGTCACGAAAGCTTCGAATCTAGTTTGAAACACCTCTACGGGGAGGGTTTGCCGTGCTTGTTTGTTTCACACTTAACTTCAAATTTAGCAATCTTTGGAAGAACGTAATCAACCAGGCTATGCGTTAACTGTGTGGTAACCGACTATCTGTGTTGCATTGCATTCCACTTCATAACTTTACTAAATTAGCATTCTACCGTGCTTGTTTATGGGTCCATTCTCTCCTCCGGCCGCTATGGGCAGTAATTCCACACAACTCCCCCTCTGCCCCCCCCCCCTCTCTATTTAAGGCCTCGACACAGAGACGTCTTTCTTTGTGCCTATGTGTGTGTCTCTCTCTCTGTTTGTCTCTGTGTGAGTCTCTCCCTGCTTGTGTCTGTGTGTCTCCGTGTCTATGTTTGGTCTCTCTCTCAAATGTAGTAATCTTTGGATGAACGTAATCAACTAGGTGGGATGTTGACTGTTTTGTTGGCCGACTCTCTGTGTTGTATTGCACTATATTTCCAAGTTTACTATGTTTGTTTTCTCATTCATTTGTACCTAATGATGGTTGTTTGTGTTGCAATCGAAACGTCGTATTCGAATATTATTTTATTTTATTTATTTCTACGTGACATTACCGAAAGAACCAAAGAGTAATTCCTGCAGTCACGAAAGCTTCGAATCTAGTTTGTTATTCAATTACTTAAAGATTTTATTAAAAATCCAAAGTTTTTTCTCTCCACCTTTAAGTAATGCAAATTGTTGTAAAATCAATGCCCTGCGTTGTAGAGACAAAAACAGAGATTGATTGGCTCCGTGTTGTAATTGACAGCGGAACATTACATTGGCTTGGTGTCTCCTCCCTGCCGTGGCTCATTACGTTCTATGCCTGCATCGCTGCCCTTTGAAATGCAGGGGAGGTGTGCACTCTCAGCCCAGTCGATATCTTGCAGGGGCGTGTCTATAGTCTTCCCTCAATCAGCCTGGCTCCAGACGGGCTCTGTAATGTCTGGCCTGAAAATGTATGATATAGTACAGGAACAATAATAATAATAATGCCTGATCTGGTGATGCTTCTTCGTGACTCACAATTTGCGAGGTCGTGAGTTTAAATCCCAGCCGATGGTTGACTCGGCCTATAATCTCTCTGAGGTTGTCTATGGAGAAACCGTGGCAGACCCCTCCATAGTAATGTGGAATTTCCAACATCAGAATAGCTGCCTGTGAGGTTGAACAGTACTTGTTTATTTTAAAAAATATCAAAAAATAATTTCACAATACTGAAAATATTCCCCTCTCATCTGGTTGTCTAGACTTCAGCTTTAGGGAATTCTATCTGAGACACAAAAACACTTTTTACTTTTGTTGAGTGAGCCTGCCAGAGTGAATTTGAAACGGTCCCAATTCCAGACACTTTGCAGATGTCATCAGAGTGAATGAAGAGAGCTGTCGTTGGTGAGAGACACACAGCCGATTTCATGCTCTTTTGGAATGGTCTTAAAAGCTGCATTCATAAATACTGCAATGCTGCAGTGCACTGCATGTCAGAAATTACATTTTATTTCTAGCAAATTGTTTTATACTGTATTCACGTTTAACGATGTCTCAAGATGTGTGACAGATTAATGTGATGGCACAATATTTTAAAACATCAGGGCTAAGGCACGAATTGTTCACTCATGTAGAGTATATTGGAATAATATCCGTGGCAAAGTGCTCAACTCACAATTTAATGGTTGCAAAGTTCATTCCGGTTAGTGGCAGACTCAGCCCATTATCCCACCTAGGGTGATACAATTATTACTACTGTAGTGACTTCAACTGAGTCGCAGATGTATATTTGGAGGCAACACATTTATTTAACTCCAACACACGGGGTAACTTCCCCCTTAACAGAATAACAACCTGTGGTGGTGACCACCAGCCTAATTACACTAGTTACAACATAACTAGCTACTACGGACCGGGCCCAACAGTTCGGGTCCAGGTCCACGTGTTGGAGACTCGTTGAACGGAGAACGTAGATGAAGGTTTCTTTCAGGATGAACAACAACAACAACAACCCTGGTCCCTCTCGAGACCCGGCTTATATTCTCTGCGGCGTGGCTGGCTCTGCCCTTGGCCACGACCACCTTCCAGAATCCTCGGGCAGGATTTGGATCCCAACCATGTGACCCCCCTAGCCCCCACTCGGGGTCCCTTTGTAGACTTAACTGGTCACGTGTCCTCTCGGGTCAACCAGAGTGCCATGGCCTTTAGCAACTTCGTTCCTACGGCCAGCACTCCCACACCCTGTCCTGTAGGGCTGGCACTGCACGCCAAGCATGGTGCCATCTAGCGCTATCAATCAGCGCTCACCGGGCCCCTATAGGGCCGGTACTACACTCACACCCTTGTGTTATCCGCGATTTCGTTACACCGCACGCCGTGCCTCTCTAGGGCCGGCACTGCACAGTGACATCCCAGAATGTGTTAGATTGTCAGGATTCAGTCGGAAGCAGATCTACTCTCGTGTGAAAAGGTAGCTAAAGGAACAAGTTATAATCAGACGCAGCCCATTGGAATAATGTTTGTTCATCGAGTACTCAACGTCCCCGCAATCAAATTAGTGCTTGGCATTGCTCATCTGTCACCGTTGGTAGAAAGTCCATGTTTCTATGGCGGGGAATATTGTGTGGGCTATTTTATACCAATCGAGTTTGTTTTTCTGGTTGGTTAAGTTGAAAATGGACCTGCGCTGGATGCTCAGTGCTGGTGACTTTTTGTCCTTGTGTCGGGAGCTTTAATTGCCGGTTGGATTGGAAGCCTATTCAGATATCGGCTTCAGTGGTTTAGCTTTTGGGATCGCTATTATCTTTACGGATACGATTCTTGACAGCATGCTATTCATTCTGAATAGCATATACAGTACATAGTACACGCACATTGCCAGCAATGTTTGGGTGGGGTGGTAATAACTTTGTAATCTCAACAGATTTTTTTTTTACCAAACTCTTTCTAAAGTGCAGGGGTTAGTGTAGCCATAAAGTCTCCATGTAAACACGTGCGGTGGTGCTTATTTCCCTAGGCATCCCTGAGTCAGCTGTGTAAATTCCACATTTTGTCTACTTTTATC